TATATATATATATATATCTGTTAACTGTATAAAATAGTTTTAAAATATCTCATTTCTATCCGTTTTGGGTACCGTTTGAGTACCTTTGGCAGGTATTGGAAAAAAGTGTGAAAGTACTGAATTATGCACAGCACTAGCCGAGGTTTAGAAAATAATTCCTGTGAAATGTTTTGTTTTTTAAACATGATGAATCTATACTTTGTCATGTGACGGCCGTTATCAAGATAACATGAGAACCAATTGGTTACTAACTTGTTTATCTTTCTGTGGCACAACAAGTGTTTTAAGTGGGGGACTCATAATATTTTTGTAGAATTTCTAGAATGAAAACCCAAACATTCAATCAAAAAATTTTATTCAGTCTGTGTGATTAAAATTTCTCCAACTCTATATGAACCATTCAGAAGAAGAATACATAAAACTTGAATGAAGGGAGATGGTTTCAACAAAAATTGTTAAAAATTCCTAAATAAAATTTTAATGATTTCTAAAAAGAAATCATTAAAATTTCAAAATGTTGGGCTTCCTGCTTACAAATGCTTCAAAACAATTAAAATTCAGTGAAATTCTAAAAATGCAAAGTATACAGTTTTAAACTAATTAATTCCATTTCATTTAATTCAATTACTTCCTTTCATTCATTTTCAATTAATTCTAATATTCCATTCACTTATTTCAATTGATTCCAATATTCTATTTATTAATTTTCAATTCATTCCAATTGACGGTTTTTTGTTAAAATGTAATAGAAAAACTTCCTCCAGTGAAGTCTTTAACATGCACTAAAAATTCAATGAAAATAAACTGACAATTCTTTAAATTATCATAAATATTATTTAGCAAAGCAACGTTTGATTACTGTGTTTTTCGCATGTCAGTTTACATTACATAATACAAATTTGAATTTGTTTTATTACTCTTAGGTATCGATTAGCCTGAATCGGCTGGAAAACGTGGCCAATTTTACAGAATTTGTCAAAGCTTTCAGCCAGTTTGGGACGGAAATGGTTGAAATGGCGAATTTGATGAGCAGATGCCAAAACGTGAGTTCCTCTTTTCAAAATTACAGAAAGGATTTGGGGCAATATAATGATAAGTCACAATTTCAAACTGTTTAAGAAAGTAGGGAAACTTTTTTGTTCACTGTGCCTACCATGAAATAAATTTTTATATGCATTGTGTGGTTATAAAATGGATATACCAGAAACTTGTGAAGAATTAATCAGGAAACAGTACTAGGCAATAGTTACATATAAAAGTATCAACTTTAGTGTGACTTATCTCTAGATTGCTCCAAGTCCTTTATTTTCAATGTTTCTTATTACGTGAAAGAAGAGAGATACTAAAGAAGAGAGTACTAAGCAATAGTTACATGTAAAGGTACCAATTTTAGTGTGACTTATCTCTCAATTGCTCTAAGTCCTATATTTTTAATGTTTCTTATTAAGTGAAAGAAGAGAGATAAAAAAATAATGCCATATTTAGAATCCTAATCTCAGAAAACTGCTGGATTAAATTACATAAAATTAAGATAAAAAATTCTGATTTCAACTTTTGTCACAAATAAAAATTTTGGATGACTTTTGTTGTTTTGTCTGCAATTTTAACAGCTTTTACTACAAATATAGCATCATTTATTTTATCCCTTTATCATTGACAAAATTAATATTTCAGAAGTATTCCGCTTTTAATTTGGATACCATTTCTATGGATGCAATACAATTCGAACCATAGTAAAATATATTTTGAAATTACTATTCCATAAAACTTTTTGCAACCAGTTGTGTATACTATTTTACTTTGAAATGAAGCATATTCCAATTTTTGGCTTTAGTTACTGATTTAGATTGCTACATTTTCAGTAGGCAGGAAAGTAAATTGACATTGAATTGACTGGACTACTATCATTTCATCTATTTCTGTAATAGTAAATGTTGATCGCAATCAGTTGTTTGTACTATTTTACTTTAAAATGAAACATATTCCAATCTTTGGCTTTAGTTACTGATTTAGATTGCTACATTTTCAGTAGGCAGGAAAGGAAATTGAAATCACCTTAGATATATCTATGCTGGCTAGAAAGATTTTTAATGGAACAAGGAGGCGGGTTACATTTATTCTGTATTATTTTAAAGAATATCACAATGTATGTTTTTTTTTTAATTTTCGTATAAACAATATAAAAAATCTATCCTCAATAAAAAGTTCCTTTAAAATTTGCGCTAATTTTTGTTTTTCCCGTCCATAGGAAAATTTTATTTTTTCCTCGCAATGACCTATGTTTTTTTTCTTCGAAATATTTAAAATATATGTGTTATGATATTAGTACATTAACTGTGAAGCGGTGTGATTTTGTGACAATTTATTAGGTTTTATTGCACATATCTTGCACAAATTTAACTCACTATACCATAAATATTAACCTTTTTTTTGTTCTCTAAATGAAAACATGTGATTCAGTATAAGCACAAAAAGATTTATTCATATATCAAATTAAAATACTCCATTTAGGACCGTCTTTGTAGGAAAAAAAGCTGTTTAGCTTCGAATAAATTATCGTGAGCAGAATGGATATAGACGAAAAACTCGCATTCGAAAGCATCTAGATCTTCGAATCTTCGGGAAGGTATAGAAGACTTTTGTCTCCAAAATTTTTGGCGAAGTCGCCAAGATCGCCGAGAGTTGCAGTGGCCTCACTGTCAATGAGAGTGAATTTCTTTTGGCTGAATGTTCTTATTAGGTGCTTTTAAAATACGTAAAATTGCCAAATAAAAAAGCGGCTTCTTGGGAAAATGGTGCAGGGAAAACAAAACAGAATAAATGATTCTTTATGTTAGGAGAAAATCGTATTTTCATTTAACATGATTTTTCGAAATTCTTTCACCGAAGAAAATAAAAAATCCAGAGTTTAAGTGATTCACACGTGAAGAAAAGATATAATTTCAATTTATATATATCATCTTGCTGCGACTAATTATCTGGGCATTGGCACGGACAAATAACTGTAATATTTTAAATGTTATTGAACTTTTTTAAAAATCGTCAATTTGGCAACATTTTTCCACCTATACGAGAATTATCAAAGTGAAGTCTTTCTCTTTTTCTATTGCCCTGAGGGTACCAATCAGAAATTTGTTTTATATTAAATTATTCCTGTTTACGTAGAACATGAACAATTCTTTTGCATTTATGTTTTATAGTTTCCAGATCAATCGGTTTCTGTTTCGCTTTTCCAAGGATTACAAATTTTATAAAATCGCATGATACGCAAGATTCTTCTTAAACAATTGTTAATAAGCATTTAAAGTTTTTTCCTGCGATTTTTGTTGCGGTGTCATATCTCAGATCTATGGTTGGTCTGAAATTTTCAGACTAATATCTCTGCTTTAGCTATCGCTTTTTGCTACTTAACTTAAGAAAAAGCAGAAAAAAAGAAACAAAAAACATGGAAGGCACAAAATCGCTTTGCCACGTCATCTGGTATAAAGTCACCTTTTTCTTACAGCGTACTTATTTGATTTGAATATAAATTATACTACTTGCGGTGTGCTAATAGTGTTCGATCAACTATTTTCCCTTTTAACCACATACAAATTTTAATTATAAAACTTTTTTTCTTCATATTTCTATTTAAATTACTGCTGAAAACCTCTTCTAAATTTATTACGGCTGAACTTTTTCTTTAGAATTTCTCGCTTCCTAAAAAAAGGGAAAAATCTTTTTAAAAAAAATAAGGATGAGATTTTATAAGACTTCAGGCTTCTCTTAAAACGTTCTAACAATTGCGTTAGTCTAATTTTACGCTAGAAAAAAAGACACATTCCCTCTCGACGCAAACACAATTTAATTAAGTTACTGAGGAGGTACTTTTATTTTCTATTGTATGCAACCGCTTTTCATTAGGTTCGAACAACAGAAAAAAACAGAAAATAAAAAATAGCCATTTTATTCTTTCATCCGTACTTTCTCTTCACCTCAGCACTGCCCTTTCTGTAACCAACATTTTGAAATAAACATATAGGTCAATTCTCAATCAGTTTAGCTGTTTTATTTTAAGTACAAGAAAACTACGTGTTTCAGTAGGTTAGATTAATTAAAAAAAATAAATTGTTCCGTTATATATCCATAATTTACAATTTTGATTACTAGTTTATGTATATATAGGCGACGTT